ATACATGTTTATAATGCAGTTAGATTATTTCACACATGCCATGACATGCCAAGTTATTCAAAGTGATATTGCAATCTCACTGTGCTATATTTATTGACACCTGTGCCTCCTCTAACTACAGCCCACTCTTTTACATGTCCACTTTCTTTGTCATGCTCCATCAAGAATTTAGCACTTAACATTGTAGTGTCATGTGATGTGCCTGGCATTGGTTTGCAATTATAATAGTTATGTTTATGACAATGCCTTGCAGGATTTGTTTGCACTGCTACTGCAATTCGTGACTGTGCAGGATCTAGCAACTACTGTGGCATTCTTCCAAGCCCCAGTGACATATATGGTTATGCTGACTTAACCTGTGAAGAAAATCATTGCAGATGTTCAGCAATGGAACACTATGACTACTGCACTTGCTTACGTATGTTATGAACCAACCTTTCTTGTGAAATTATGCATAATGAGCTGATGGTGCAGCTCCTCTTGCAGCTGGACTAGTTACATCATCTACTAAAGTTTTTGTCCTTAGACAAGTAGAGTGTAGCTACTAGTGAGAGTCATTATCGACTGCCAGGTAGCTACGTTCATTCAGATGCAAGGTTTGCAGACCAGAAGAGATAAAAACTAGGCCGCACCATACATGTGTAGACTAAGGGTCCCTCTATCACACAGCCAGGTCGCTATGCTTCTGCAGGTGTTACCATAGGCTAATATATATTGTGTTTTTTTCTGTCATATTTTTATGCATACACACAGCTCATATTGGCAGTTGTCTGATAGAGAAGGACTCCGAGAATAGAGTTGTGAATCCAACATCTGGGGGAATTCCCGAGACTACATACAGCTGTGTGGCATCTGACAACTGTAACTATGAAGTCCATGTCATTGGGAACTATGAGAGCAGTAATGGCAGACATGGGTTCTTTACTGAGAGAGTAGCAGGGGACACAGACGTGATAGTCAGTGTCTCTGGAGAGAGTCCTCGTCCTCTCATACTAGTTCTGACATCATATGAGCCAGTGAGGTGGAGACTGAGTGTCACTAATGGAATCACCATCGACAGAGTCATTCTGGTAAATAGCTAAACATCAAAATAAAATAAAAATTTACTACTCCTTCCGTTGATGTTAACTTTGCCCATACACTGCTATCTTGTTTTGAGCACGCATATATGACAGGTAAAATACAGCTCACGCTTTACTTACATACTACGTAAGAGAAAGAGTATGCTGAAACGTGGCGGTTTAGCATGCTAAGCATGTCATGCCATCACTTTGTATGTATTGGCCCACCGAGGTAATAAAACCACCAAGACGCAGTGCCAAATACTAAGTTATTACATGTAAAATAACAGCTCGCGCTTTACTTACATGCACTTATCAGCTAGCTTTTGCACCAAAAAACCATGTTACTCATTTTATGACTTGTACTAGAGTTCCTACTACAACAGCACAGTCAGCTCAAGCCCTGCTAGTGCTATCAGACTCACTGAAATCCTAAGCCGCTCAGAGGGAATCAGGGGGTATGGATCCGATATAGGAGGTGGAAAGACTGCAGACCTACTGTTGTACCTTCAAGGGAGGTTTGGTCCTGTAACATCATTCAGTGGTAGCTACAGAGCAAGTCGATGGGAGCTCAACATCAAGAGGAGAGCAGGTTTGTATAAATTTTTTTTGGATTTGTACCTTAGTGCAGTAGCTATCTTATGTACATAGAATGTGGTTGGGCCAGTACGGCCTGCCAAAACCTCTCCCCGCCAGCAAATGGAAGAGTGGATATCTCCAGTTTGGAGCCAGAGACTACAGTCAGATACAGTTGTAATGTCGGGTTTCAGCTCTCAGGGAACAGAGTAAGGACCTGTCTGGAATCAGGACTATGGTCTGGGCAGGCACCAAATTGCACCAAACACTTGTGCCCTCCTCTCTCTCCTCCTTCCAATGGAAAAGTGATGTTTTCTGACACAAGACCTTTCTCAAGTGCCACTTACACATGTGACTCAGGATTTGGTCTTGTTGGCCAGTCTGTACGCACCTGTGAACAGTCTGGAAGCTGGTCGAGAGAACCTCCAGTCTGTGTTGCCTCTGTGTCGTATACTTCACCTCCCAAATCAGACACCTCAACTTCAAGTTCTTCCAGTGGTAAGACATGTAGCTCTCTGTTGTTTTTCCATGGATGTTAAGTATGTTTTTCTACTCTATCCCAGGTGTTAGCATAGGTGTGGCAATTGCTGTTTTGGTGCTCGTCGGGACTGTCGTTCTAGTGGTAGCAAGAGTGTGGTTCCTACTACACAGGCACCGTAGCCTCTCGAGAGTCTCTCACCAGCGGTCGTCACCTCCAGTGCCCACTATTCCAGCTCATGAGACAACTATCTCCCACCCTCCTCTCTCCAACCCTCCTCTCTCAACTGAGACTAAGTTGGCAGAGGAATCCACATTCTCAGCCAGTGTCTGACAAGCCGCCTGACTATCACCAGGCAGTCAATCTTCCCTCTGCTGACTCCCCTCCTTCTTATTCTTCCCAATGAGATTATACACGATGAATATTATGGGACAATTAACATATATACACACAGATGTACAAATATTTTTCCGCATGGTATTTCTCACACACAACATAAATTATTGTGGTCTGTCATGATACTTCAGGCTATTCATCTAATTTTAAGAATGATGGTCCGAGTCTCTTCTTCAGAACATCTGAAGCATGTAAAAAAGGATTTGTCGTGTATCCAAAAGTATCGACCTTTAGTATTGCTTTTATTCAAGATTATCGACAATGCATAAATATTCAGGCGATGAAGGCCCATTTGACTGAGCGCCCCGCAAGGCTCGCGTAACACCGCGCAGACTCTGGCAAGTTGCTCTTCGTGCACATCGACAGCAAGTTAGCCAGTTGGAAGTGTGCACACTTACTTACAGATGGTACTGGAGGTTGAGAGTTTCTCTGCAGGTCTGCCAACTCGCCTGGTAATACGCTCGCAAGCGCATTGGACAACGCCCCTGCCTTGCGCATGCGCGAGGCTCACTGATGCAGCAAATGGCGTTGTTCAGTGTCGACCATGGAAGAGCTCCATGAAGGCCTAGGGAGTGATTCTCACTGAGTTTCTAGTCGTTTTGTACGCAGATCACGTGAGATTTCACCCGTGTCATCCCTATATAGATAGAACCGACTCTCTAAAAAAGAGTCGGTTCTATATAGGGATGACGCGGGTGAAATCTCACGTGATCCGCGTACAAAACGACTAGAAACTCAGTGAGAATCACTCCCTAGGCCTTTAAAACATACTAGCAATAGTCTACGGGCCCATATCTACCTATACATGTCCCCCAAGACCTCAGACGCTCCTTCAGTCCCACGCGAGAATTGGCTCATACGCTATTTCACAATTTTCCTTCTTCTTCAGACCCGTTTTCTCCTTGCTAGAACAAGTTGAAGCGCTGATTTTTTCACTGAAGGTCTCCAATTTCGTCGGAGGTGTGCACGGACATCAAGCGATCGTTTCTTTCTTGCCGCAAGTCACTATGGTAGATCTTCCGAATTCCATGGTCGACACACTACTCTCAGCATCAGTGAGCCGCGCGCATGCGCTAGGCAGGGACGTTGTCCAATGCGCTGTGCGCGCGCGTATATATTACCGGGCGAGTTGACTGACCTGCAGAGGAACTCTCAGCCTCAGTGCCTTCTGCAAGTAAGTGTGCACATTTCCAACTGGCTAGCTTGCTGGCTTCATTACAAACAAAAGTATGTTTTTTTCTCTTTTATAAGATATGAAGATGAAACTTTGCAAAAAGATTGGAATCCGTGACCCGGAATGCAAGAGCGTTTTAATTTGTTTGTAAACAACAACAAAAACAGAAAATAGCCCTAGGCCATACATTATGATATAGACCAATAAAGTGTGCTAAGTAGGTAGACAACAACAAACAGCCTCAGGCAATAAAAACTTGTAAATAGTGTTTGTGCCTATAAATACCAGTTTAACCCCTGCTCATCTCACCATGTAATTACAACTTAATTTGGGGCTCTTTGGGCCTTCATCATACGAAGGAACTCCCGCATGGTATCTACTAGTGTAGCTATATAACCCGTGTCAGACCCTAAGCAACTTCTATCGGGAGACCAGCACGCCGAGGGTTTGCACATTTAGTACTTTTATTTTTCCTCACAACCAACATATTATATTATACAATGGATTCTGCATAATAATTATAATAAACAACAATTCACCTTGGAGCTACCAATAAAATAGACGTCATTTTTACAAAGATAGGATAACATAGGTTGATATTGTTAATGAATTGTTGTGGTAAAAAGAATAGCTATGCATATTTGAGTTTAAGTAACCAATAATTGAAAATCTACCAATAATAACTAATATTTAATCTATAAAATAATTGTCAGGAGCTCAGCAATCCCAAAGTGTCCCTTGGCTCTGGCCAAGTCTATAGGTGCCTTTCCATCCTAAAAAACAGTATAATAATATTAGCTATTGTGGTACCACTCTATTAAAACACCCCAAGAAAATATTTTGCATGCAATAAAAACTTATTCTTTAGCGTTCAATAAGAGAATTAAAACAAACCACAGTGAAAGTGTTTAAAAAAATTATTAGTGACTTTACATACCTTAGTCAAAACATTTATCTGATCCTGAACTTTAATGAGAATCTTCACCACATCAACTCTTCCTTCATGTGCTGCCATGTGAAGTGCAGTCCAGCCATCCTAAAGTATTTTAAATTCACATCATGCACACGTGTGCAGCATTATTAACCTTATCCTGTGTGTCAGCATCTGCCTTAGCTTCAAGTAACATCATTAATATCTCAGTCTTTCCACTGATTGCTGCTGTCATTAGAGGTGTCCTGCCATTCTGATAGAACAAATTCACTATAACAAAATGGTTAGCTATATACCTGACATTTATACGATATAGCGAGTCTAGCAGTAAGAAGGAAAAGTACAACTGCCCACATGAACACTCCCTCTGTATGATTCCTATAGAATTCTCTTCCCCCTCATTCTTTTAATTTTTTTTTTCCTGGCTTTCACCCATCACCTTCTTTCCTTTCTTTTCTTTCTCGTCACCTGCGGACTCATTAGAGACTCACTTCGAACTCCGTCCTAGGATCAAACAAGGAAGAATGAAGAGGGGTACATGGTAGGCAAATAGAGTTCCTGGTATACGAGGTGCGGAAACAGGTGAGCTTCAATGTAATGAAAAAAGAAAGACAGAAACCGTAATAGGGACGGGCCCAAGATAAAGAATGAAATAAAAAGTGGCGATCCAAGGACTAAAAGAGGGGAAGAGAAAGGTAACTCTCAAGCAAAGCCAGTGTGGGAGGAACTAAAGCAATGGAGGGACAGGGGGAGTTTATAAAAGAATAGAGGAGGATGTGGGACCTTCCGCGCTACGCTCGTGTCCCAAGGCACCCCCACCTTTCCTGGTCATCGACGAAGGAGACCTTCACCAAATCACCTAGCATTTACTCATGTTCACTAAGTGTATCGTCGGCGTGGAGAGTTTATTTCGAGGCCACCGGTGATGTGGTTCAGTCAGGGGGGCATTTTCCTCTAAGGCACTCGCTCACGACGGGGGGGTTCGATGCTCAGCATTTATCCGCTGATACTCCCGTTTTTGCTCCCTACTTCAAACAGTCATCATGGTACGTTACTTTTGCTGCATTCGAAAGTAAAATTAAAAATGCTTTGGGATACAAGAGAGACTACCATATATTTGATATTTACATCATCAACACTGTCACTCGACTTCACAAGCCTTGACACTGTTAGCCAGTGCAGCGTATCCTCGGTGGGAGAGGGGGGCACTAGTAGAGGGCAGTCTTAGGGACGTAAACCGCTGCAGTGCTTCGCCATGTTCTCCCTGCTGTATTTTCCTCGTCTGAGGAAGGAGACTTTCGTTTAGATTTCTCGGCCGGAAATTCGCGCATTCCCGAGGAGCCCAATTGTCCAAATTCAGACTCGGTAGAATCCGCTAAAGAGAGCCTCGCGATGTTGCAAGCCCAGCTCATTCTCGCTGAGGTCTTAGGGGATATCAGCAGTGCGAAAAGAGGAAACAAAGTGATAGGAAGACCGGCGTGCGCCTCGTGTCTTCATTTGGGCTTCATGGGATCTGTCTTTTTGCCCTCGGGGGCGCAGCTTCTGGGAAGATTCTTCCCGCCCCGCCTCTTGTCCGGCCACACTAAGCGCGTTGATCTAGCGGCACCACACGAAGAGGAGGAAGACAAAGCGTCTCATAGAGAGTCGAAAAGAGTGTACGGAGAAGTAAAGAACAGTGTAAAAACTTGAAGGTTACGAAACCTGAGCTGCCAGATGAAGAGCTGTCCACCCGTCGCTGTCAGTGTGCATTACACTAGATATAGCATTTGCACTGTGTAGCTGCTGTCGATACCGCATTGGCTACCTGATAGTTTGTGCATCAGTATCCTCACGCATGTAGAGCCCACATTAGCTTGTGTCTCACTATCCCGTCTTTCCCGCAAACGATGCTACCATAGTGGAGAATCCCATCCTACCAGTCTGAAATTGATTTTTCTATATCAATGAAAACAGCTCACAAACAGCACAAATCATTGAAGCCTTAGGCGAGTCGTTCATCAATAGACTATTATGTCACAGTGCCCTGTTGCCCGCCATGCCAGCGAGGATATATAGAATCCATATCTATCTTCACGGCCAGTATGCGACATGGCAACGGCGTGCAGACAAATTTGATCTATAAGTTATAGTGAACCTGAGCATTCTTGTTGTGTAAATTTTGTGAACAAGAATCACATTCATACTTGACCCTTTTTCTCTCACTGACTTAAAGCCATTATACAATGGTATTAATATTAACTTTCCTTTTGAGGTAGGTGTGAGTTGGTGGTGTTACAGCTCGCCTTTTGGGTGCCTCAAAAGTGTCCGCAGTGTACTCACTAGTTGTCCAACGTTTGAATGGTTAGTAGTCGTCGCTGTGTTTTTGCGTCAGTTATAGTTGGGTCACTGACAGGAATGGCGCGACGATTTGGTATATTTGATCTCGATCGATGTTTACAGAAAAGTCTTTATATTCACAACTTATAGTATGGGTGGGGCTTATTCTTCCTTTAACGCAAGATTGTTGTTGGAGAGGCCAGCATGTTTTCATCATCATCAACTCGATCTCAACATCAATCGACCGTTTCCGCTAGTTACGTACAGAGAATACTTATAACTGTGTTTTTTAACCCTTGTTGCTCATTCGTTCGGGTGTCACCCGATCTGCCCGCTTGTTTATGAAGGAGCATGTACATTGATTCATATCCCTTCATACTTAGCCAAGACGAGGGCAGTAATTCCCGTCCTGTCATCGGGTATTAACGCGTGGCCGTTAAGGCACGCATACAAGATATTAGCAGAGTGTACATCATCACTGTGATACGTTCTGGTGCTGTGATTCAACAGTGTACTAGCGCTATGTAGTGTACCTCTGTTTGCAGAGTTGACCTGAGCTCCACACTTCCGTCAGTAGTTGTCACAACATCAAATTTTCTTGTTGTGGCTGCCAGTATGAAGAGCAGTCCGCCATTCTGTCAACATACTATCCAGTACAACAGAGCAGTCCAGAGCTCAAGCAATTGCATAATGTTGTTTCACTACTATGAATGGCTTTCCTTCAAGCCCCTCCAACATACATGTACAATTTTTGCTCTTAAAAGCACACCTTTCACATACATTTTGCTATAGGCAGGACAGCCCCTATGCTTTCATGCCCCTCTATTAATCTGTGTCTCAGATCGCAGACCATATCCTGTGGTGTCTATGTTGGCATCTGCTCCCATTAGCAGTTTCCCACAATTTGATATGTCCTGTGAATGCGCTGCATCATGCAGAGTCATCCATTCTGAAGTAGAAGGGATTTCTCAAAATGTATAAGTTGTATCGACTGCTGATGCGTGACCACGCAACAGTATCTATTGCTCTCATTATATCCAGTGTTCACATCCAGGGCAAATATTGCTACAGACATTCTCATTTCTACGTTGTCACTTCCTCCCTCAGACGTATACAGTTGAAGTCAAAAGTATATACCTTTTGCATAGGTTGACGTCGCCCACGAATCGTCGATTTTGAGCAGCACTGCGACTTCTTCATTTCCCCTTCTACTTGCAATGAAGAGCGCAGTAGTACCAAGTCTAGGTTGAAGGAAACTATATTAATGTCACACCTGTGCGTTTTCAACAGGAGTTAAGAATACTGTTTTTGGCAGCGAAGCGCGAATGTTCAAATTTTCACAAAGCGTCTTTTGTTTCGCGTAATTAGAAACCACGTAAAACATTACGATATGTGCAGTGTGGCAGTGCGGGTCACAACAAGGAATATACATAATACAGAAAAAATCTCGCATTCAGACGACTAAATTGCCTTTTGCTTGCCAATATGTTCCCAGCCAGGTTTTGCATTAATGCATATGAATACTGCTTGTTTTATATCATTCAGTATCTGATCAAACGAACTTACAACTGTCTGTATGTCAGTTTGAGCCAAGGAATTAGTCAATAATGCTACCATTTCACTGTGGCCCTCGTTGCATAGCATTGCAAGGTGAAGGGCAGTCCAGCCATCCTACAAGAATAGTTAAAACTGATCATATACAGTAGGTGGTGTTGGAAATTTATTATACCTTTGTCTGCTGGCTTACATTTGCCTTAGCTTCGATTAGCATGCGCACAACACCTTTGTGTCCATGACATGATGCTATCATAAGTGGAGTCAAACCTCTCTGGATGGAGAAATAAAAGTTGTATAAATAGCTAGTAACTCATAGTAAAAACCTTGTCACAAATACGATGGTCTGCACCATGTTGAAGAAGAAGACTTACAACATCGTATGGTCCTTCTTTACTCCTATAAAAGATCATACTGGGTTCCTCAACAATGTGGGTATTTAACGGATTCACTTCTATGAAACCTATCTAACTCTGGCAAGGGATTCTGTTTGTGCAGGCCAAATGGTGCATGTCCGATGTAGCCGCTCACAGTGGTAACTGGCAAAGCCCTTGTGGGGATGAATCTCATTAGTTCACAAACCACACAAGTGCTGCTCTCATCCTTGGCCTTTAGAAACTCGTGGTGCCAGAGGAGAAGTTGCGTATGCTCTGCTGATGTGGGCCAACAAGCCCGAAACCGCTGTCTCCGATCCCCCATCTTTTTTCCTCCTTGTCCTCCCAGTGTTTTTTTTCACTTTCTCCTTTTCTCTTTAGTTTTCCCATCCCTCACTTGTCTTTTTTATTGCACTTCGTCCATTCTTCCCGTTGGTTTCTCCCGCGGCGGGAGGGACTCCGTCCCTCGGCAGGAGCGGGAGACTCTTTTTTTTTTTGATGTCTCGGGGCCCCTCTCACACAAGCATCAAAAGGCTCCTCGGGGGGCCGAATTACGCGTGTCTCGGTCGCCCTGATGGCAAGAGGGAGGAGGCTTCGCAACGACGACGAGGGTATGGGGCGGTGTCACTCGTGTAACGGATCGCGAAATACCGAGAACGACAACAACGAAAACAGGGTCACAGCCCACTCAAGCGCGCACACCGCCCAGGAAGAACGTAACCCCGCAGGGGTTCAGAAAACGAGATGGGAAAAGGTCACCTAATCCGCGACAAAGGACTAATCTCGGCATATCTCGAGGCTATACTCTAATCCCCGCATTTAATCTACGTTAAGGTTTGCCGTTTCCTCCGGCGAGAATCACCCAGTCACACATATCTCGTTTCAGCAAATCGCCATTTTATTCGTTTGGTGTAGTTCTGAAGCCGTTGGTATCGGTGTCTCATGTTGTAATTCCCCCTCTTATGTTTTATTCCGAGTAAGAGTCGAGCGAGCCAGACGTACAGCAGACAGATTGACTTAACTGTAACCCCGGGTGTACTTCTCAGCATGAATAATTTGTATGTATGTTTAGGATGTAATTTATGTGTTGCAAGTGCCCAGACAGGACAGCATGAGCCCTGTTACATACATCGTACATATCGTACATACATACGTTACGAGTTTACTGTCCACAGCACAGTGGTTTAGGTTTGTCTTGTGTTTGTTGTGTTTGTAGATTTTCGAACCCCTACCATCCTCAGTTGGTAGAGCACGCTCACAACGCCTCGCACTAGAAAACTGTAGAGTGTCGTGAGCTTCGAATCCCACCTAGGGCAGCATCTTTGGGAAAACAGAGCTCTGTCCTATGTGTAGTTTGATTGGTTTGTTTGTCAGCCGTTTGCCTTTCTCATCACACTCATAGTTTTCACATACGTACAGCACGTCACTACATAACATACATACACATTACTACACTACACTGCATAAGACTAATGAGTGGGGTCATGCTATGTTCCTAGAGCTCTGCAGTACACACTCTCTAATACATCAATCAAAGTTCTACGCCTCATTTTTGCGTATTGATTGTTTGTGTTCTTCGTGCCTCATTAGCGTCTTGACGACCTCACATTCCCTTGCATGACATGCTGCATTAGTCGTTGTCCAGCCATTCTAAATCGGCATAATACAACACTACTGCTTACATGCATTACAGCGAGGAATATTTTATAATACCATCGCTGCGATATCAACATCTGCATGGTGTAACAGCAGTAGTATCTACTACAGATCTGTGGTGGCCATTATACTCACTTGCACACTGGCACGAGAGAGCAGCTCTGGCGATCCGCAGAGATAACAAATTAAAATGCATTCCTTTTGCTACACACATCTATTCTGTGTGATCGATTGGATAGATACTGGGCTTGCAGATGTAGCATTTGATTTTACCTTACAGTCTTTATGTCACCACGTGAGCTAGAAGCCTCAGTTATTACTCTCTAACACTCTAACACATCAGCTCTACCAGTGTTGTGCGGCCAAACGGAGTGCACATGAAGACCATCCTGCACCCATGAACAATAGTCATTCTATTACTCATGATTTAGGATCAGACGAACTTCAATACCATCATTATTGTTGTGTTAATGCTGTTTGTTTACTTGCCTCTTGAGCCACTTGCCTCAACCAGCATCTTCACAATGTCAACCTATCCCGCCCTCAATTGATGCTCACATCAGTGTGTCCCTGCCATTCTGCATGGCAAAGAGGAATAATTTTCCCTGTACAAAGAATTGTTAACTATCGATAGCTCACATATCCTTCGTATTTGCCGTATCCAACCATCTGCATAAGTGTAAAGAAGCACGACCTTCTACTACAGATCTATGCCCTATCTTGATCTATCTGCAAGAGAGAGCAGTCCGCATCTACAGACTGATTAGATTGAATATAAAGTGTGCTAAACCACAATCTACGTAGATTGCTCACACACACCTCTTTCTGTGTGTTTCATGTTGTCCCTACGTCATACCGCTTGCAGTAGTCTTTTGCCACACCTCTAGTATGGCCGATCAAAAGTATGCCGCCATAAGCGAGTCCAATGCGCTCCCTAAACTGCACAGAATGTCCTCATATTTTTAGTATAAATGTGTAGTGTTTGTTTTGGGGAAGAAAAAAGTGAATATCGATAGTCCTAGTGTCTGGACACAGGACGATGTGCCAACCTCAAGCCACCACCGCAACGCATTGTTGGGCTCTGCACTGGGTGTGTCATCCTTAGACCTCTAAAGAAGAGTAGGACACGTATGCCCAGCCTTTGCAACACATGGGGATAGTGGGTTGTTATGGCATGCCAACTCTCACACAACACATCCACTATTCCACTCACGCGCGTGTCATCACCACGTTCATGTGTCCGCAGTCGACGCTCTTCCTTTGTCCAGGCAGGCAATTTTCAACGTATATAATTTTTTCTATAAATTATGTGACAGGGCACTAGCGCACTCGACACTAGCAACTACTGTACTGCACACTACGTGATTCTAGAAACACAAGCGAATATTGAACTCGACAATGAACTGCTTGTGCTCGCTACCAACGTTCATTCTATATATATACAGTACGTATTGAAGTAGTTTACAATCACATACATTGGAACTCTCTGGGGAATTACAATCCTATGGTTATACTAAAGGCACAATTGGATATTTATAGAGGGAGTTGTGTATGTCATAGGCATGAAATACTCTTAGGGGAAGTGGGTTTTGATACTCTAGGGTCCTGCAGTGTCTCTCTAGTTAGAATCATTATGTGTACATATGTGTGTATGTACAATGTATGAGTGTATACTTTGGTGCAGAGAGCGATGTCAGCATATTTCTTGAGCAGTATTTTCATAACTGCTGCATGTCCTTTTCTGATAGCAATGTAGAGTGGAGTCTGCCCATCCTGAAGGTAAAAAAACAATAGGTGATCCGATCCAAGGACACAGATATCCTCTGAGCTACATACATAAATGCAATGATATTGGCTAATACGAGTAACGTTCCTCCAATTTGGATAGGCAGTCAAAACAGGGCTGTAGGAACTGTATATTCACGCTAAGCTCAACATGCACTCTTAATATTTACATTCGCTATTGTACCAAGAGTGTTTTGCATTATTAGTAATCACAGCCTTTAGTTAATTTACTTTCACTTTCTATAGCTATCAAGGAGAAAACAAAAAAATCCCTGGGTCCATAAAGATTCTCAGGTGGCAGCCATAGCTACAGAACAATAGACAAGGTAACCAGAGTGATGAGTGGAAACAATTCTACACAAACATTTGTTACTGCTGGTGTCTGAATTACCTGGCTACGTACACCCTAGCAATCCCCTCCATCAGCAACACCCGCAGTTCCCCGGAGACTTTAATGCTAAGATTATCACCATAATTATTACCTAACCTTTCTTAGCTACTAACCAATTATGGGGTCAAGCAGATAACATTAATCCTCTATCGACTGTGCAACACAAACCTTATACTATCATTGACAAGGGTCCCCAAGCTTCCCCAAGTTAACTGTTCCTAAGGCTACTACACTTCAGTAAACACGACGTTAACACTCATCATCACAAAACAGGAATTCCTTCGTCCTTTCCCTCGCTCTGTTCCTACACAGCCCCTGATTCAGTGCACACGTGTGCCTGAATATTAAACTAGGCCTGGCATCACTTGCCCCATCCAAATACTTTCAGCTCACAACAGCTTTACTTTTGTCTTTTCCTCCAAGGTCAGCCTTCCTCAACAGTCCATTGGTAAACGCTGAAAACTGAATCGGTGATAATCTATACCCCTTTGTATTAAACTGCCACAGATCTCTTTTTTGACCGAAACTGGGAGTTTTTATTGTGTTCATGTGGCGCCACAAAAAAGCTCGTAGATCTGAGAGTTAAGGGGCTTCTTTCTTCATCACACCACAATAGAACTATTTTTTAAACCAAACAAAACTATAGAGAGTGAAAGTTACCTCAGTTTCAGCATTCACATCAGCATGAGCATCAGTTAGGAGCTTTACTACAGCAATTTTACCTTCATGAACTGCCAGGTGTAAAGCTGTCCAACCATCCTAACAAAGCAAAAATTCAAAACGTGATGCACATTTCAAATCTATATACCTCTCTTTGGAAATTGTTCTGTTCTATAGTTGCCTTAATATATTTCTTTACAATATCAGCATGCCCCTTATATGATGCTATCATCAGTGGAGTTGATCCATCCTGTAACACAGCAGCGTCACACAGTTCATTGACTTTAAAAGATAAAATTTTACTTTGTGGCATAAACTGCAATCTGCATGCCGCTCAAGAAGTAGTTCAACAACTTCTGTATGTCCTTCTCTGCTGCCAATATAGAGAGCTGTCTGACCATCCTAAGAGCCATAGATGGTTTTATTAGGGCACAAGTAACATTCCTAGCTTACCTCAGCCTGTATGTTTATCTTTGCTTGTGCTTTTATCAACAGCTTCACCACATCAACTCTGCCAGTGAGAGCAGCTAGGTGAAGAGCAGCCCAGCCATTCTATTGATAAATAATGCATCAACACCCATCTTTATTCATACAGGATTAAAACACATACCTTATCTTTAATGTCAATCTTTGGCGTCTTTTCTTCAATCAAAATTTGAACAATATCAGCATATCCTTTGAATGATGCCACCATAAGTGGAGTCCAGCCACTCTATATTTGCAACGAAAAACCCCTTAAAAATTAATTGTGCAACTAAAATTTATAGTCACCTTTGACACAAAATCTACAGAAGCAATCTGCTCCACCAGATTCTGAACTCTATTTGTTAGTCCATAGAGTGATGCTTCAAAAAGCTCTACTTCCTATATAATTTACAATACTTTCACAAAGTTTTTTGAATGCGTAGAATACCTGAATATTTGTGCACCGGTAGTACAGGTCTCCAGCAGCAATTTGTACTATTCTCTGCTCTGCCATAAGCCGATCAGATCCCTTACTGGGAGGAACACCTCTTAAGTATGGCAAAATACCAGCAAATGTGGTCCAGCAGATCACATGACCATCTTCATAGCAACCGGCATACACTAGAGCTACCTGAGGGATGTGGAAGTAGCCACAAACAGCAGTAGTGATGTCATCATAGTCTTGAAGAGTGAGGAAAGGCCGATCGACTTCAGCAGTAATTCTAATAGTCGTTGGAAGGGTTGTACTCTTGTGTTCATCGATACATTCAAAAACATTGGAGTAAAGTGCCTGGAGCTCAGAAAGGGGGCAGGAGTGGTATTTGTGAAGAGATGATTGGTGGATCATCTTTTCCTGTCTTCAGGAAGACAGTATATCTGTTCAGATATAACGAAGCTGGAAAACCTGCTTCGAACTTGAGCAAAATCTTTCATTGCTTGGATAGCAGCAGGACACTCACATCCCTCTGAGATCATCATTAGAAGGTGGGGACTGAAGCAGTTCCAGAGGCTGGCTTGTGCCTTGAAAACCTCAGGTGTACTTGCAGCATTCTTGTGTGTCTCTGGATCGACAACTGAATGGTACTTTTTTCCAGGCAGAGTTAGTTGGGATAGAAAATGACAAAAGCGTTGAAGAGAAACAGGAAATGTCTCGAATGATTTAATAACAACTTTTAGTGCCAGCAGGAACTGATGCTGGAGGTCCTTGACTTTAAGTTCAGTTTTAAGATGTTCTGAAGAGAAGGATAAAATCTTTGTAGAACATCTGTCTTTCTTTTAGAACACTGCTTTTCAAGATCTGTGATAAAATTGATAATTTTATTGTGTAACTCACTCTAATAGAACCTACCAGACTTCAGCTTTTCTGCTAGTTGTTTTTGTTTAGGACACCCTGTTTTGTCTCGTAAGTCGATCTGACAGAGCTGAAGCGACAATGTGCGATCGTCTGCGTGTTGACTGTTTTTCAACTCACTAGGGCAACTGCTGCTGAGAGATCTGTGCATACTGAACGATGTGTTGATCCTCACTAGTCTTCCACATTCTCAGGAATGAAACACTGTCCCTTCTCTGCCATCTGATGAATGATGGTCTTTACATTCATGGAACTGTATGCTCACTTAAGGTTTAGCTGTACGCAGCGCGTATGTAGCAGTAAATATCTTCTCGTCTTTGCTTCTAATAACTTTTCAT